AACCCTCCATTGCATTTGCACAGGGAAGTTGATAGGCACTTGATGGGACCTGCCTCAATGCACCATAAATTAGGGTTTGTGAAATGCATGCGCACATACATAAGTATATACGTAAGCATATGATATACATATATACTATATATTTGCATATACAAGCTTTACAACTTCATTAATACTTTCACATTGCATTCCACACATTCTTCGAAGAGATGCTTGGTCGGTTGCTTAAGGTTGATGCGTTAAATTTAAAGGTGATGAGTTGCCATATTTCTTTGAATAAATTTTGGGTTTATTTTTTGTAGAATTTAGTTATATTTATTATATATAATATTCATTTGCATTTGTTGTCAGTCTCAGTGCGTCTTCGCAGTTAAGCCTGTGAAATAACTTTGCACTAATGACAACCTATAAATTTAAGATTGAACCTAGTTTAAAGTTGTAACAACGTCACTAAAGCTTTTCACTAAGATATCTACAATTTCCAAATATTATTGACCACTGTGGAAGAAAAGAGTTAGAAGCTGAATTTTGTACTGAAGCCAATTTTATAAGGGGCCTTTATCGTTTATTTGAATATAAAATTTTGAAAAATAAATCATTTTCTGAGTTTAGTTTGGCCGGAGTTAAGATCAGAACCATTTAGACATTAGATTATTATACCCTGAAAATTCTATATTAAGTTTGTAACACACAGCGGAAAACGTCGGTGACCCAATAAAGTATATACGAGCATATAACTGATTAGCGTGACGAGCTGAGTCGATTTATTATTCATGTCCGTCTGTGTGTATATACACGAACTACTCGCCCATTTTTTGAGATATCCATCTGAAATATTGCACACGATATTTGCTCCCCAAGAAACTGCACATTAGTCGGAACCGCGGATATTGGTTTACTATAGCATATAGCGGCCATACAAACTGAACGATTAAAATCAAGTTCTTGTATGGAAAACTTTTTTATTTAACAAGATACCTTCGCAAAATTTGTCAAAGATTATTTTCCAAGGCAAGATTATAATACCTGAATATATATAATTTATAATTATGGCATATAGCTGCTATAGAGACTGGCCGATCAAAATTAAAATAAAGATCTGCATAAAATATTTTTCTTTATTAAGTAACCGCACTTCGACTTGTAGATTGATTTTTTTTATCAAACAATGTGCCTAGAACTACCTGACCATTCGTCTTGGTTTGGCCGGAACAGTCCGGATTCCGAGTTAAGCGTCCGGCCGTACCGGGCTTCGATATATAAAAAAAAATGAATTTAATAAATATGTGTTGCTCTGTCACCTATCATATGTCGCCATTTTCAGTTAATTATAATATGAAAAAAACATCCCGGATTTTGCCGGGACAAATATGGTCAACTAAGCCTAGAAAGAACCAGCAAAACTTTTCCGTTGAAAGCAAATCATTTACCGATTGCATTTCCAGAGTTATACCTATAGTTGCTATAAAAAATTCTACTATGAAGGGTATTATAGCTACGCTGCTGCCGAAGTTAATTTTTTTGCTCTTTTAGCTTGACATAAATTTTTCGATATATGGATTATTTCAAAATCTTAGATTGTTCTTTAAGTTTAACGCCATTGCTTATATTTTATGCATACAGTCGCGGGTTCTTCATACATTGCCAGCTGAACAGTTAAGTCATTAGCGTTTGTCATTAGCGAAATTTTTAAAACAAATTTATAAAAATGTTTTTTTTTGATAATTATCCAAATTTGCTTTGACTGGAATTTGAGACCAGGACCAACCAGATGCTAGTGCTGTATGCAGCACGCTCGACGTAGCCATCTGCAATAGATTATTTTGAAGAAAAATTATGCAAATTTTACTTTACAATAATGATGCGCACGAACAACAAGCGCTTTTCTATAGTATACTTAAACTTACTATAAAGAAAATAGAAGACACTTCCTAACACTAGTCGCTGCTGAAAATGTTTGCTACTAAGTCTTACAAGTTCCAGCGTTGTTGTTATTGCGTAGTAACTTTGCCCAGCATTCACATCTTTCACATAATTACACAGCCACACACACACACACATTGCACAATAACAACAAATTCTCTACTCATATACTCACCGGCATCTTCTCCGCCGAGCTTCTAATTCTTAAGATTTTTTCTTTTCATTACAACTTATTTTAATTTTTTACTCGTTAAATGTATGTACATATACGTATGTATGTATGTATATATATATATATATGGATGTAGATATGTATATATGTATATATGTCAGCATTTTTCCAACATTGCTTTTTGATCACATATTCCTCTATCATTTATATTTGTTTGTTTCGGCGCGTATTTCGCTCAATTGCTGCTTCCATAAAAATAGCCGGCACAAAAGCTCTGGGCAACACACCAAAACTGGTTTTACTTCCCTTCTGTGTGCTTTGGCAGCTCTTTCACGGCCTTCTATTGTATTTATAATAAACTCGTTCGATCTTTTCCTCACACGCTGCAGACATTACATACTTCGTCGTCGTGTACACCACGTTGCTTGTCGTCGTTACACACGCACACACATACACACACATATCTTGCTACGAGCATGTTTGTATGCGCGTGTGTATTGCGTGTGTTTGTTTTGCGGTTTTAAGCTCTGTTTAATTTTCGTGTTGGCAACATATTGCCGTATATGCAAGCGTGCAGCGCAATTTGTTGTTGTTGTTATTGGTTGTTGTTGGTACTATTGTGGTTTTCGCGTTTTTGCATTGCTGTTGACTTTGTAACATAGTTTTGCTGAGCACCACTTGTTTAGCTGCCATTTCAACATTTCCAGCTACAACTTTTCATTTTGTTTGCTCTCCTTTGTTGCAGCAACACAACTGGTTTTAATGGTTTTTGATTACTGCTATGCTTCTATGCGTCTAACTTACTTTCCGCTTTATGTCTTTGTTCCTTTTCTGGTTCTAAACAAGATTTCGCTATGTTTTGTTGACTTGTAGATAAGCTTTCATGTTTTCTTGGTTGGTGAGGAAGGAATTATAGTGCAGCTCCGATGATGATAATCGACTCGGTTGTAGAACATAGTGTGTTTGAGATGCACACCTGTCAATTATTTGCTTGTTTCAATAACTACTTCTGCTCTCGCTTGAGAATACCGATAAATCACATACCTGAAACCTATGCAGTAACCCTTTGAAATTCATGAAACCAACAGCTATTGGCGCGGAACTCGTAAATATTCGGTTTATTATTACTTGAAATAATTAGAGCAGGTATGATTTTGGTCTCAATATTACCAAGTCGCTGCACTAGCGCTGATTCTGGATCTCTCTCCGCTTAATATCGTTGTGGAGATGACAGCAAAAAGGTCTACTTTAGGGCAGGGTAATAACCGCTCAGAAACAGAGTGTTATTGGAGAGAGTTTACCCTTGGCACTCGTTCCCAGAGACGAGATTACCAAGAGAATTTACTTTGAAAGGGGATTCAAAGTATCACTGGGCAGCTAAGGTGAATGGGAGGACTCCATACTTGAGAAGTAGTTTCGTAGGCTCGAAAACGACAGTTGAAATGGGGCTTGTGTAGAGGGATACCACTTACCAAACTGTCAGTGCTTATGAACAGGTTTCCAAGCATTTTTCTAGCTTAGGTCTAAGCCATTAGCAGATGTGCAGAGATTATTCTAGAAAAAAATTATCACGTGGAACGAATTGTCACTCTCAGTGTTAGTCAATCTCGTCCGTTGAAATCAAATTAAAAATGGTACTGGAGTGTATAAAAGTGCTTAACAGGGTTGCCAGTGAAAACAATATCCTACCAGCATGGATCTCTGAGCATAGAGGCATCAATGGAAATAAGCTAGCCGATCTCCTGGCAAAAGAAGCTGCGGCAACCAGTCCAATTGGAACGGAACCGCTCTTCGCTGTGCGCCACTTTACGAGAGGAGCTACGGAAAGGTGAAATTGCTAGTAGAATACGTCACTGGCAACAAGAAAAACGGCTCAAGAAATATACGCTCTTTCCAAAAACAAATTAAGGCCGCTTGTGGGATGTTATACAGGTCACTGCAGACTGCAATGTCATCTGCACAATTAAGGGTACTACTACACGGATATATGTCGCTTCTGTGAACAAAAAGCAGAGACACCACAGCACATACTCCTTAAAACCGATAAGAGAACACATTATAATGGAGCTTTACTAAGCCTCTTTGATTTGACTGGGTTAAACGAGTTAAACGAAGTGTTGTAATAACAGGAGAGAGCACAAGAGACCATAGATCGCAGTGGATTTCTCAAATTTCAATCTATACCTCAACAAGGCCTGGATTTTTATCGATCGGCCTGTATGCAAGCTATATCATATCATCCGATATCAACGGTTTTGAGAGCAAATGCGAAGCTTCGTAGAATGAAAAGAACGTGTGCAAAGTTTCAAATCGATATCTGAACTATTGACTAGTGAAAGCTCTTATCGAACACAAATGAAAATATTATCGAAATTTGTATTTTTGTGAAATAGCTACGGATGCTTCATGTGGCGAACTGAAAGTTTTCAAAGTTAATTGTTTATTTCAAAATAAACCGCTCGGCATGCTCGTACTGATTTTAAGCTTCATTATAAACACATTGTTGCCGATATTGTTTTATTTAAGCTTCTGCTTCTGATAGCCTTCATATTATTTTATATTTAATCTGAAATATACCGTCGAGATTATTGTATTTGAACATCTGGTAACTTTGATTGCATTAGACTTTTGCTCTCTCGAATGCCTTTCCTATGCTCAGGTAGGCTAAAAGTCGAAAAATACTTCGAACAGAACTTTCATTCTTATCAAATCTCTAACAATAAACTGTGAGTTAAAATTCAGATAGCATATATCGATAATTTAAACAAGCCAGAGAGTTTTGGTCGACTTAAAGATTTGGAATCAAAATTAAACTCACAATTCAGTGCTGGCAACGCTGTGCACCATATAAAAGCGCTTGCGCTTTCAAGCACGTAAACAAAATAAATACAACAACAACTACATTGAATGACATACTTTCGCGAGAGCCGCATAGCGGCAGAGAGAGAGAGAGAGAGAGCGCGCGCTAGGTAGGGTTTGCGCTACTGTCAATGCAGCAGTGTGTTGCAACAGTAGCGACAGCGGCAACAACAGTATGTGGGCAGTGAGCGAATGCGGCGAACAAGACGAAATGTCAGAAATAGACAAATGAGGCGAGCAAAGAAAAGCGGAGAATATTTGAAATAGCCAGCCACTAGGCAGTTTGTAGTTATTGTTGGTTATTGTGCTGCGGCGAGCGATAGAAACGCGAGCATATTTCGTGTCGTGTGTGTTTTGTTGTGCGACAAAGTGAAAAATTGCTAATAAACAAAATAAATTGAAACAATCAATTGCTTAAATATACGAAGAATCTCAATGAAAACGCGAAGCGTGTGTATAAACAAAGGTAAATAAGCCGAATAGGTGGCGTGTGAAAAGCCAGTGAAAATTTTGGTGTCGAGGAAAAAGTGGAAATCAGTTTGTCTTTAGTGTACTCATATATATGTGTGTGTGTAGGTTTGTGTAATACAGTGAAGAAATAAACACACACATACACACATACAAAAGCAGTGAGTTGTGCTCATTCCTGTGACTGTAGGCAGGCTAATTGCTGAGCAGAATTTTGTTTTTGGGATGTAGGAAAAATCTTTGTCTGCGTTTAATAGTGAGCAATGCATCCTAGCGATGCATTCGTCCACATACGTACATATATACACACATCCGTAGGGAAAAGTACATAAAATAATGCTAGTGCTAGTGCGGCGTAAGAACGACGGCGATGGTAGTAGAGCGTCAACGTCGCAGCTACACAACAACAAAAACACAGCTGTGGAATCAAAGCAAAAGTTAGCAAAGACGCAGGAGACGTAAACGCAGACACAGTCAGTCTCTTTGGCACTCTTCAGTATATAATAATAGCAACAATGAAAGAAGTTACGAAAGACAAGATAAAAAGCAGAGCGAATTGGCTTTTGAAATGCAATGAGTGTGCGCTCCGGCGCTCACAATTTTTCTACACTATACAACTGTCAAATTGCCGCCGCGTGTATAGCAGATTATAAACAAAACAAATTGATAACTGCAATGGCAGGAGAGTGCAAACCACAGAGCGCAACTACTGACTAGAGAGCGTCTGCATACAATGCATTGCATTTTCCCCCCCTCCAACACACGCATACATGCACACATACATATGTAGTTGTGCTTACACAAGTGCACTGCCTAAACGGCCGAGTCGCGCTAACTCTTGGCCCTAATAATAACGTACGAGTAGTATGAGCCCAATTGGTAGTGCATGGTCGGTCGGTCGTTGGTTGAACGGACAGTGGTACATAAACGTGTGTGTTGCAGTAAAACAATAAAATCGATGGACGGACACGCTTAAATAGTGAGTGCCAAAGTTAATGTGTATATGTTTGTATATGGCGATTTAACTCTTTTGCGTTGAGCTGCTGTTGCGGATTTTTTCATCGTTTCCAAACTAGCAACGCGTATTCGTATGTATGCACATACACATACTTACCTATAAATATGTGCAGTTTGCTGCCTGTCCGATAAACTAACTCGCTGGCTCAACGTTTTAGTTAGTTAGTTATTTTCGTTGGTCTCTGTGTGAGAGTCGCGCAGCAAAAGTTCTTGCTCGCATTAGTTGGCAATAACCATTTTGTTGGAATGTAGGCTTCTAATAGTTAAACAGTCTGCAAGATGCATCATTTTTATGATGCAAACATTGTGCGTATACTAAGTGTGCTGCATGCCATAGTTGTGTAAGAAAAGCGAAATTCTAGTAAATTTCTGTCGGTAATTCATTGAGTAAAGTGTGGAAAAACGCGTTGAATGCGAAGTGTAGCGCGTTGGATAACGTTTGTTTTGGCCAAGCATTACTAAAATAAATTTAAAGGCGTATGATGTTACTGAAATAATGTAATATAATGGAAAAAAGTGTGTGTGTGTGTTCTGTGTAAATCTGGAGTGTAATATTTTCAATAAAAATGCATATGTGGTTTATATAAATATTTTATGGATATGTGTTATCGACTTTTGATGGCACCATAAAAATGTTTGTGCATGCATGCACATACATAATTGCATACGTAATAACATGTGTAATTTGTTGCTTTAATTAAGACAAATATCAGTGAAAATTTATATTGAAAACAAATGACAAACAAGAAAAAACATTAACTTCGGTTGCACTGAGGCTAGAATACCCTACATGAATACAGAAATTCTCATACAAGAACTTGATTCCGATCGATCAGTTTGTATGCTAAATGATATAGTGTACTTATCTGAAAATTGTTTTCATTGGTGAATAATACATGCTAAATTTCGTAGTACATCTCGTCAAATAAAAAAGTTTTCCATACAAGAATTTGATTCCGATCGTTCAGTTTGTATGACAGCTATATGATATAGTGTTCCGATATCGGCGTTTTCAAGAAATGTGCAGCTACTTGGAGAGAAAATGATGTGTACAAAGTTTCGGTTCGATATCTTAAAAACTGAGGGACTACGGACGGGCATGTCCGTAATCGACTCCGCTCGTTACGCTGAGCTTATATACATATATAATAAGAAATAAGATTTGCGCAGAAAAAAACAAGACAAAATAGTTATAGTAACTAGGAATAACATAACATAATAAAACATAAAACGAATAAAGGTACGAACGTGATTGAAAAGCACTTTCAAAGTGACAAGACATGCTAGATCTAGTGTTATAACATTATATGTATGTACACCATCGATCTATTTATATTTTTGTTGAACATCACTCAAAAAGTGCTCAATAATTTAAGGTTTCAGCAAAAACATCCCTGAAAAGATTTGTATAAAAAAATCCATTTGATTCAAAAGAACTTTGAATTCAATTATTCTAAGCATAAACTAAAAAATTTCTGATATTTTTTTAGTAAATCTGAAAACGTAACCGGTCAACGGTTTTTATCTAACAGAAAATGTTTTGCAAGTTCATTCTAGCCATGCTGTTTGATATAAACAGCCTTCAAGTCGAATTAAAAAGATCTTTTATGACGATCTTTATCTTTATTTTAATCGATCAGCGGTCCGATCTAAATTATTTCTTCGGAGATTGTACCGTTGCCTTGGAAAATTATCCATGCTAAACTTCGTGAAGATATCTTGTCAAGTAAAAACGTTTTCCATACAAAGACTTGATTTTAAACGATTAGTATGTGTAACAACTATAAGCTATAAAGCGAGCTATAATTCGAGCTAAGCAATATGCTCGAAGATTGTAGTAGGTCTTAGAAAATAATACATGCCAAATTTATTGAAGGTATTTTATGAAATAAAAAATGTTTCCATACAAGGAAACTATGTCCCATAGTGGTCCGATATCGACGGATCCGACAAATGAGCAGTTTCTTGGGAAGAAAATTAGTGAAAAATTTTAGATCCATAACTCAAAAACTGAGGGACTATATATACATACTGACGGACATGGCTTTCAAAGTATATTTCTTTTTAAAACCTTAAAATGGCTTCTTAAGGCCTTCGGCATTGATTAGCACAATTCTTATTGAAGAAAAACTTAGGCTATAACAAGAAGTACCTAACTTAAAAACAAAATAATTTGTAAATATGGTGCAAATGATTTTAATTATAAAGATATACATGGGTAGATATGTATACAAAACAAACACATTTAAAAAGCCGGCTAAAACTGATAATAAAAAATAAAAAAATAAAATACAAAATTTGTGACAGTAAAAAATATCAAAAAAGCAACCATTACCTGTAAGCCTCAGCAAAATGTAATAAATAAAAAATAGATACAAATAAATAAATAATAAATATAAATAAATAAATAAATAAAAAAAAAATAATAAAATAATGAAAAATACCATAAAAAAATAAAAGAATAAAACAAAAATATATTTAAAAAATTAAAAAAAAAAATTGTGTAAAAAAAAATAAATAAAAACAAAATAATGTAAAAAAATAAATAATAACAAAATATATAAGTAAAAATTAAAAAAAAAATAAGTATATAAAAATTAAAAAAAAAAATAAGAAAATAAAAATTAAAAAAACAAATAAGTAAATAAAAATTAAAAAATTAATCAATAAATAAAATTTAAAAAAAATGTAAAAAAAAATTTAAAAAATATAAAAATAAAAATTCATAAGTAATAAATAAAAATTAATAATAAATAAACTAAAAGTAAAAATGAATAATATGATAATAAAATAAAATTAAAAAGAAATTAGTATAAAAACAACCGAATAATTGGGCAATATCGCTTTTGACACAACAGCGCTGCAACTATCAATTTTGTTTTTTTTTTGCTTTAATTTACTTGTTTCTGGCGTACGCATGTTAAATTTCGTGTGCTAAGTGATTGTGAATTCACGGCGCATTTTTTTACTACTTTCAGTACATGTACGCTTGTGTGTGCGCAAGTATGCAAGCACAATTCAGAAAGTAACAACGAGCATACCTATGTTCAAATATACTTAACATACATACATATGTACAAGTGTATGCAATCGACTACGCTTACGTCGTAACCCTGCGTCAGCCGATCGTATACACTACATTGCTGCATTGTCTCGCACGCGCATCACAACAACAAACAGGGCAACATCAATACAACGCAGCTCAACATAAACGTACAGACGTTCTAACAAGAAGAACAATAACAACACCTTATAGCAAACGAGACAAAAACAATAACAGAAACTGTATACTTGTTATTAACATTTTAGTCGTCACAGGAGTCGAAGCCGGAGTCACTGCCGCCGACACTGTCGTTGCCGTCATCGGCAAACGTAGTGCATATAAACATAAATATAAATGCATATGTATGTGTATGGGTGTGTGTGTGCTGTTGTATGCACTCCCTCACAAGCACTACTTTCATTTATCGCTTTACGTCTCTTTCGTCTGCTACATGCATACACAACGACATACTTGACATTTGTATGCAAGCACTGCTATTGTAGTCTCATTCAATTTTTTCTCTATCGGATGCACATATCTACATAAGTATGCATGTACGTATGTACATACATATATCATTTAGTATGCAGTGGTTTTCGTTCGTCGTTAAGTGTATCGTTTTCATGTGCGGATCCATTCTGCAATGTTCTACAACACTGTCTCGTCCTAGTACGATTACGCTACGAAATCAAACGTCTGTTCGGCGCTACAGTTGTTGTTGCTATTCGGCTGTCTCGTTTTTTATTAGTGCAATCATTATTATGTTTCTATTCCTTATTCTTCTGTGTAGGCAAACCAAAAAAAAATATATACATATATTAAAAAGACAAAAGGAAAGTGACAAATGCAACGAAGCAGAAAAATGTGTACAGTGTATAAAATAAAATATGAAAAAAATTATAAAAAGTGTGAATTGAAGATGCAAAAAAAAGCATTAATAAATATTTATTGATGCTACAAATTTCATTAAACAAATAAAGAATCGCATGAAAAATGTGGAACGTGTTAAAAGTTGAGTGCTTGTGTTCAAAAATAAAATTCTAAAATTAATTACATATATCTGAAGATATATATACATATATATATATACATAAATATATACATATGTGCATGTATGTATATAAATACCGATAAAAAAAAAACTCCGTTGAAAGAAAAAACACATACTCTGGATTAAGTGCAACTCTACCGAAAATCGCTCTCAAATTCGGGATTACTGCTGTGCTTGGATTGAACGCCAAAATAACAACGGTTGTTAGAAAACTGGAAGGTGTGTATGTAAAATATGCAAAAGTAATATCTATTTTAAATTCTTTTACAATATATTCGTATAATCGAAATTAAGTCACTTTTTAGTAGTACTTTTTAACAATACCACATTGATTTGAAAAAGTTTAACATATGGTGTGTCCAAACTGATTTTGAAACCAGTTTTTAGTTTCTAAAATTATATGCTTACGGAGCCTATTGGTTGATTGGATGTTCTAAAGGCTAAAGTCTATAGTTATAGATACAAAATTACTTAAACGCTTAGATCATACTTTATGTATCTCAAAAAAACGTTGATCATTCGCTTTTAGGCCGATAGCACAGTTTTCGGTGTACTCGTAGAAGTATCGCTGGTGAAGTTCATAGTTTTAAATACTCCTTGGTTACTTGGGACCGTCGCCATCGAAGGTCAAAACAAAACTACAGGTTAATTCGGCTGATTTTGCCAGTACTTGTCTAAGAGAAGAGTAACCGAGGTGGAAGTAAACATACACATCACTGATCTTCCCAGGTGAAATTCTTCACAGATGAAAAAGTGCTTCAGAGATGTCAGAACACTGCACTCCGTACGTTTACAGAACGTCTCCTGATGTGTTCTGTCGAACAACTCTATATACAATAGTATATCCTGCATGCTTCCAGTTAAGAAACGCAATGCACTCCTCTTCAAGCTTTGATGGAATGTTTTCTTAGTGTTATACCTCCTTGCATAGCAGATGAAGAGCTCGAATTCACCCGAGAATCTAGAGTGAACTTCGTTCTGAATATTGTATCAGGTTAAACTCCTACTTATCCAGAATTGTCCCCGACATACCATTATATATATTATATGTCCAATGAGTCCCTGCATGACTCTAACTACCTCTTTGCATGCTTAATGAATCCCATTCTTCTAACACCCATCTCGCGTTTGTGGCGCTATTGGGTATTAAGGCGAAGTTATTATTCTACCGCCCTCGTACTTACCACAAAGAGACAACTTAAGATTGAGTTAGTATCAGAATTAGAATTCAACATACATAAGCACTGCAAACTGTGGTCTTTTGTGCCCTTCCTACTTCACAATGATTCATACAGCCCCAGTATTCTAATAAATTCAAGGATCGTGCTTGGATTCAGAAGGGCAATGCTCGAATTTTTGGAGCTGAGTGGCAAGTTAGTTTTCAGTTTTGCTAAATTTGTTAGCGCTTTCATTGTCATTGTTCTTTTATGGTTCAGATCGAACATAAACATTTAGTTTCTGGTTTCGGTGTTTATGCCTGATTTTTTTTTCCGAAAACATCAATCAATCTGTAAGATATATTATTTTGTTCTATATTGTTTTCTGTTAATAATGTGCTTTGTGTCGAAAATAGATAAAATCGGGTTAATACTTTAGCTAGCCTCCATATACCTAGTACAATGATTTTCGAGTTTCCAGTTGATTTTTTACCGTTTATTTAGGTCAATACGCATGTGCGATATTAAACCACTTAATTTGGTTTTCTTAACCACTAGCTGAATATGAATGGTATCGGTCTAAACCACAACCCTTTTATAACGTCATAGCATATATATTATATATCTTATATACTTATCTCAATAGAAGTCATTCCCGGCTTTGAACTTTGAAACTTAGCTCTTGCTCACCTATTTTTAAAAAAGTTTATTTATTTCATTAAATGCTGCAATATTTTTACATCACTAGGTCGCAATACTTTTGAAAATTGCAAACACGTTTTCAAAGCTGATTGTGCGCCCTTCTTTTTCTACTGTAAGTACCGCTGGTTCTAATCTCATATTCCAATTTGTAGTTGGTTTGGTTTTGGCCGCCAACAACAATAAACAAGCAATCAAATCGCCCACGCAATTACATATTACGTATTTATCCATTACATACCGCCGCAGCTGTAAGTACACCCATGAACTGAGTGCACGAGAGCGCTGAAGAGAGCGTTTGCGATGCTCTCCACTGCAATTCGAATGCAATCGGCATTGCAGTGAGTAAAATGTAATCTGTGTTATTGTAATCAATGAATGTGTTTATGTGTGTGTAAAAACTCGCACTACTTGATGACAAGTTTACACTAGTAAAGAGGGTGTGGCACATCGCTTTTAGTATATTTTTTTTTTTTTTTAATATTTATAGAGTAATTTGTGCGATAAAATTTTGCGTTTTCATTTTGGCAATTAAATATGCATGAAAATACTTAAAGCTAAAATGTAGCAAAATATATTTTATGAAAAAGCTAGTTTCAATATATATTGCAGTTAACTGGTTTGCGACATATGTAAAGCCAATATTTGGCAGTAAACACACAGGTGAATTTCGTTTCACGAAATCAAGCCAATACGCTGAACAAAGCGAGCAGCAAGTCTTTAAATCAGCTTCCAAATTTAGCGTCGAGAGCAGGTTTACAATATCTTCTTTTTATTTTATACACACACTTCCTTATTTGTCATGTGTCTGTATGTATGCATATTTATATCCTGAACAGGGTTTATTAAATTTGTCACGAGGTTTCTTACACTTAAAAAGAAATATCGGAGACCCTATCAAGTATATACTTGTTGTATATAAATAATAAGCGTGACGAGCTGAGTCGATTTAACCATATCCGTCTGACCGTCTGTTTGTTTTAGAAATAGTACCTCAGTTTATGAGCTATCGATTTGAGATTTTGCACACGTGCTATTCTCCCCAAAAAGCAGCTCTTTAGTCGAAACTGCCAAAATCGGACTACTATAGCATATAGTTGCCATACAAACTGAACGATCAAAATCAAGTTCTTATATAGAAAACTTTTTGATTTGACGAGTTATCCTCACGAAATTTGGCACGGATTTTCGCACACTGCAATGCTACAATATCCGAATATAGTATTCAGATCAGATCACTATAACATATAGCTGCCATACAAACTGAACGATCAAAATCAAGTTCTCATATAAAAAACTTTTTGATTTGACGAGTTATCCTCACGAAATTTGGCACGGATTTTCGCCCACTGCAATGCTACAATATTCGAATATAGTATTCAGATCAGATCACTATAACATATAGCTGTCATACAAACTGATCGATCGTAATCAAGTTTTGTATGAAAACTTTTTTTTTGTTTGTGAATGGTATATTTAAGTTGTTCTTGTTTTTCTTTTTCATTAGCGCGTTTTACATGCATATTCATCATATATATTTTATTTTAATTTTTTCACTTCATTTTGCCACATATTCGTACCTTCGCAGCGCTATTTATTTGCCGCTTTTTGCGGTTTGACGTGGTGACACACAAAATGTTGTTGTTGCTGTTATTTTTGTGGCTGATTTGATTTGCTTTTTGCTGATTTTTTGTGCAGCTTTATTGTTTTTTTTTTTATTGGCTTTCTGCTGGCGCGCTCATTTTGGCACCTATTAACCAGCCATCGCCATCGAAAATGTTATAAAAAAAAACGGTAAAAAAGTCAACATTTCGCTTGTCTGCTCGACTGACCAGCGTCGGCTCCAACGCTGCTGCCGATGTGCCCCAGCAGTCAGTGTGGCGGCTGCGAGAATTCAATCAAAAATTCTTCGGCTACTTATGTGGCGTATGACCGCCATCAGCGCCACTCAGTCAGTGGGCCAAATAATACGAGGTGTGCGTGTTTGTATATATATGTATATATGTGTGTGTTATGCATGTGTGGAGAGTGGTTTCGTGTATGCCAGCGTTCTTTTGCTAACTGTATTCACGTGATTTAGTTTTAGCGCTTCCGTGTCGCTATTCAAACTGTTTTTGTATTTGTTTTTTTTTTTTGGTTTCAATTTCAATTTTATTTTGTTCGCCTCTGCTTTTTCCACTTTAGCTTTACTTGTTGTTGGTTGTAAATAGTTTCATATTGCGCTCGCGTACTCTTGCACTCGTCATCTCAGCACTGATTTTTCACGTTTTAGCTTTTATTCTGGCGAATGTCAGCACCGGTTGCGCTGATAAAAGTTTAATGATCTTCCCGTTGTTTTTGTTATTAAACAAATGCACCAGCTATTGTTATTATTATTATTATTGTTATTTATATATATCTATATATATATATATGTATGTATATAAGTACTCTATTTGCGGCTGCTGTTAGCTATTCGTGTTCACTTCCCGTGAATTTTGTATGCAAATTAGTGCAGCTGTCAGCAGAAAAGCGTTTTGTGTGCGATTCGAAAGCGGATTTTTGATAACGTAACGCTGATTTCATTGTAGACGGTTATTTCGAAATATTTCAAAGTCCGTACTGAAATTGCAATTTCATAAAATAAAAAAAATAAACACTTTGTTGAACTTTACAAACTGTTTTTGATTTAGTGCTTGATACACAAAGGGCACAGGTCCATGTCGTGAGATAATATGCTCATCAAAAGTTTTCTTCAATAAATTGATTGTTTCATTGACTGTATGGCATGTAGCATCGTCTTGTTGGAACCAAAGGTCGTCCACATCAACAACCTCCAATTCAGACACGAAAAAAGCCTTAAATCAGGACTCTATAAATGTGTTCCCCATTTGTTTATAACTATAATAATAAATATATTTTTTTATTCAATATAATCTCCCTTAACTTCAACACTTTTATTCCAATGATCCTCCAATAATTTTATGCCATCTCTATAATGACTTTCCGGTAGCTCTGCAAAATACTCGTCTACGGCTGTAATAGCTTCTTCATTCGACGCAAAACGCTTTCCACGAAGGAATTTTTTCAGGTTTCTGAAAAGGTAGTAGTCGCTGGGAGCTAAATCTGGTGAATACGGTTGATGCTCAAGCAATTCGTACTTTAATTCGTTGAATTTCGTCATTGTTAAACGACTTTTGTGAGCAGGTGCATTGTCTTGATGAAAAATGATTTTTGTGCTGCAAACCAGGTTTTTTCTCACGAATTTTTTTAATTCAGCTGATCCAAAGGGCTGCAATAATATTCAGAGTTGATTGTTTTACCTTTCTGCAGATAATCAATCAAAATTTCTTTTGCATTGCAAAAAACTGAAGCCATAACCTT